TTATATTTACAGACAGTAAAAACAATTGAAAGTTTTTTACGCAAATAAAAATTTACTGGTGAGTAAAAGAATACAGTTTCAATGTGATCTGAATACGTAATAGACGAATAACTTTTATTTGTGATCTTAAAAATGTAGTTTATACATGATCATGAATAACATTTGTGTAGTCACTACTCGAGCAGTGTTGTTGGATTCGAGTACCTATGTCATAAAACTGCTAGCCAGAGATGATGACACTTGAGAGTCGAGCAGCGTTTTTAAAATTTTATACTGAACTATGGATAGGTTTTTGTTCAAAATTGGACGTTTTTTGGTGAATACTGATGATGTAAACCACAGGTTGCAAGTGATCCTTGATTGGTATTGATGACTTACAATTTAACTATAGATTTCGTAGAGGTATATATTATGGCGTAGGTAACGGATCACAAAATAGTTTCGGGACACGAATTCTAGATTCGATTTGTATAACTAAAAATAAAATATGATTGTATCAATATAAAAGTTCAAAGAATGCTGTAAATTCATTACACAACATGACATTTTATTTATGTGTAGGTATGTACATTAAAACGGTAAATTAAAGTATATTCTTGTGGCTTGACCCTTTAGCTTGAGATGCAGTTATTCCCAAAACAAAACAGTAAAACATTTTAACGTTTCAGGAAATAAAGGTTTTGTGATGTAAAGTCATAAAGATTTAAGGTTACGTTTAGGCGGATTGTTTTGTATGTGGGCGCGGACTAAGCGGCAGTACCATATTACCTGCTTGAACAAACTGACTATTAAGTGGCATGCAACAATATCTATACAAAATGTTAAAGGACTAGAACTCAGATTAACTCAATATTTGAACAGTTAGAGGTATATTTACAAAACAAAAAAATCTTACGTCAAAATTTTTAACAACTTGACTGCACGGTTGGCGCGGTGGCTGGGCAACTGGCTGCCGTGCAACGTGTCGCGGGTTCGATTCCCGCACGGAACAACTCTTTGTGTGATCCACAGATTGTTGTTCCGGGTCTGGGTGTCATGTGTATGTGATATTGTATGTTTGTAAACGCACCCACGACACAGGAGAAAATCCTAGTGTGGGGCAACGTTTTTTTTTTAAAAAAAAAACTAGACGTATTTTATTTCAAATTTATCACAAAAATTGAGCTGCATTTGTTCAAAATTCTCACTGTGTAAACTATGTATAATTTTATTTTTGTTTCGAAAATTACTAGTGTACTTATATTACGTTGCCAATCTCACTGAAAAGGGCCCCAGCTAAGTCAGTTATAAACATTTCTGAGATCTACCTAACTTAAGTGGAATGAGCTACCTGAAAAATAAAAGTAAAAGTGGGACGTAATTTTATAAGCAGAAAGGAAAAGAGGTTTATGTCCAGCACTTTAGCACGCGGTCGTAAGAGTTTTGTAAAAGTTTCGTAAGTCTCCAACCATGAACCGTAGGAAGCCCTAAGTTCAACAGATTCCTCTGACGCGTTCTTGTAAGCGCAATTCAATGAATAGGCTCTTTGTGTCAGGCTTATTGTATAGCCTCTCTTGAAAGGGGACTCTTCAACAAGCTGCGACGCTCTTTACACGAACACAGAATAGTATACAACGAACATATTATCATACTTCTATTGTCGTCTTGCCTAAACTAGATAAAAACAGGTACGGTTCGTGACACCTCTTTTATTAAATTTTTGATACGGGAATCGCTAGCCGGAGCGAGATTGTATTGAGATAACCTTTTGTCGTGTAAAGAAGACATAGAGAGGCGTAGGAACAACTCGGCAAAGCCAGGGTAATCCTGGCTTAGGAAGCCGCTCCGCCGGACCGACCGGGTGCGGATACCTTTTACTTACTACTCGCAACACTTACCTGAAGAATGTTGTCACTACGAGAATAGTTGCTTTGTTTTGTTATTGTTCTCTTTCCCTAAAAGCCGCAAGACCCTTAAGTAATTGTTTTACAATTAGTTTCACCTTTGTATAAGCAACTGTTTTAAAGAAGGAGGAGAACAAGGGAGGTAAATAGACGGCTTTTAATCTCAATGAAATTAGACAATTTAATTGTTATAGACTAATAGTTCCGAGCTGTTATTCCTTCACAGTAAGATCTACTAGTTAAAGTAATACATATATTCATCTCCCACCAGTTCGAGATGATGAGTATTCCATTTCGGTTTATTGAGACTTCCTAAGTTTATTCAATACATACAATACACCTTATTGCATATTTATTACTGCCTGCCAAATTAGATATGATCAACATGTCGTTGTAATTTCATCGTATTTTGCACAGGCGTTAAGTTCAATACATGACATTTATTAGATACTTATTTAAAAACAAAAGAGGGGTTTATAAATTTGATGACATTTTGAGGGTTTCGGATGACACAAGGATAATGGACACCAAAGCCGGCATTAATTTTGTTTTGAAATTGATCAAAATTGCCCAATCGTCACAAATAACAAAGGCGCCTATTGGACCGGCAGAAAATTTATTGTTCTCTATTCAAAATTATTGTTAGAAGTGAAACAAAATTTTGTAAGTCAATGGAGTGGAATAATTTAAAGGGTGCTCTAAAAATTTTTAAGTACCCCGTATTGTTTAAAAAGCTCTTGAACTACTAATATTTATATCCCGGTAAAATAGTAATTAGGCATTACTTAATTTAGATCAAGGGCTTGCTACAATAACTGTTTGATATCGCAACACCTACCAGTAAGTACCTATTGTTTATTGTAATTGCTAAATAAGTGATAGTTACTGCGATTTCATAAACAGGCGACGACATGAAACAGTCGCTTTGGAATGAATTCTATGTTCAAGAAACAGATCTAATTTATTGCAAATTGTGTCCTCAATAAATGTTTATTGCAAACGCTTTCTCAATTACTCAAAATATACATTGTTATCGTATAATAGTTAGATCCTCAATATTTCTAGATGGCTCAATTATCACTCAGATATTCAGGAGTCAGGTGGCGAGGGTTTAATAAATATCCACTGGTCTGCAACCCTGAATATCGTGGCTTAAAGGTACCCCATAAAGTTGTTTCTAACATAAATTGGGTCCGAATCCCACTTTGAATATGAAAGGAAATATAGATTGTCATTTATTACTATCCCAATTTTAGTGGGATTCTTATTCATTTTGTCCATATGTATACGCAATGCAAATTAAGTAAATTTACGTATTTATGTTGAATTTTTATCCAACTAACACACGATGCAATCCATTTTCTAATACACAAATAAAACGAGGAAAAACTAACAGCAAAGTGCTCAATGCAAAAAAAAATCTGAATCGAAAACCAACTCTTGCGTTTTCGAACTAAATCTCTCCAATCGGACCAACTCATAAAATATTAAAATGTATTGAAAGCATTTTATAAATTCAGGACATAACGTTTACATTGAAATATATTTTCGGCGACAAACGCATTTCGTTGATACATAGCATTTCCATTCCGATCGTCGAACAATTTATATTCCGCATTTTAAAACTTCAATAATATCCATTAGTCCTGATGAATATTGCAAAAGATTCCGAAACCAGTGACCATCTTTCTACCAACGGCATGTGAACCGTTTAAAATATTCTCTTCCATACTTGACCCAATAAAAGGTCTGAACTTTTAGATTCAAAGTGCATAATTATGAAAATATCGGACTTGGATCATTATTCTGTACTTATGTGCCTCTATGTGTTTTTTATGCATATGTAGATACTAAATACCGTGAGTCTTTCATAAACAAAATCTAGTGTGGGAGAGCCATGCTTCGGCACGAATGGGCCGGCTTGACCGGAGTGATACCACGGCCTCACAGAAAACCGACGTGAAGCAACACTTACGTTGTGTTTCGTCGTGTGAGTGAGGTTACCGGAGGCCCAATTACCTTCCCCTTCCCCAATCACCCCAATCCCTGAATCCCCAACGATCCTCAAACTCCTAATCCCCAAAAAACCGGTGACGCACTTGTAACGCCTCTGGTGTTCCAGGTGTCCATGGGCGACGCCGATTGCTTACCATCAGGTGATCCATCTGCTCGTTTACCGGCTTATGCCATTACAAAAAAAAACGATTAGAGAGATTTTCATTCAAGTCTAGACTAGATTTAAATTTATACAAGTTTGTAACTCTAACTTTAACATTACTTTTTTAAACCGCAGCACGTTTGTGCAGTACAAAGTTAGTTCGAAGTCAGTCAAAACTGAACTGATCACAATACCCTTTTCACCGCACATTGATACGTAAAAGTATTCTCCTGACTTTCAGCACTTAGTATCGGTACGGAATATACGAAAATCCAATTTGTTCCTTCTTCTTTTGTATCGTAACAAAAGCAGTGTTGGGAGTCATAACATCAAATTCAGCTTGTTATCCGCAAGTATATACTTTTTGCAATGCGACCGGATTGTTACGATACTTTGTTCTGGTTCACAACTATACACAAGAGCTTTCTGCGAACGATGACCGCCGAGTTCTTATAAGCGTATCATTTTATCGAACTATACCTAGTTATGATATTTTTTATATGAGCATAGATATTTGCTTTACCGCATCAAGAAATATCCGAAGGTTTTTACCTACTATAATAGTTATAATAGTTTTCCTGGTAATAGCAAACTTATTGGGTGTAGTTTTAAGCTGAGTTCTAACGCGAGGCTCTTATCACAGAGCATGATTAAACTACAAGACTAAATTGATTAAGTTGTTTTAATTGACGCGTATCATTATACGTAATTAGTAAAATTCCAAACCAAAATATCCCTAAAACTGACCTCTGCGTAAAATGACGACACCTACATAAATATCTGATGGCAGATACCCAATTTTGTGAGTATCACATTTCCGTATCTTATACCATTTCACCTCTATTTCTCAGTACTCTGACCTCAACGTAATTTGTAACGTTGACGTCAATCTCTTGCCAAATTTCGCCCACGTTTTTGTGATCTGTTGGGATCTTAGAAATAGGATAGAGATAACTTACCTTAGCTTGGAAAGTGATCCCGTAGGTGAATGCCTCATCAGGATGCAGCGGGATCCTGGTATCATACTCGTCGTTGGGCACGAGATTATACTGTTTAGTGGACGGCATCTTCCTGCCCCACTTTAGGATCTTCATCGGAACACGTTTCCAGGTTCTAGCCTTAAGCACTACGCGGAAGTAACGGGTTTTGTATGCTCTCCTAAACATTTAGGAGGCTTGTTTAATGCTCAGCCACCATTACAAACAATCCCCAAGTTGAAAGACGAGTGTTCCCTGAAACAATAGAAAGCATCGTTAATGGTAAAGTAAATGAATCATAAGTATTTAGTGCTTATTCTCAATTTTTCTGGGCAATGCATGCTTTAATAACTTATACATACATCATAGCAGTTTACGGGAAGTTGGATGTCTTTAAAAACTTTACATTGTAACGGCTTTCTGTAAAATCGTTTCGACACAGTATACATACGTACAAATCAATCGCTTTGTTCTTTTAACAAAGATAAAACTCTAATAGTCTATATCGGGGTCAACGATGTGGACGAGAGTCCAGCGAGCCAATCAATGCTAACTGACGACTGGGATCACTTCTGCCCCTCGGCAAACTTCAAGTTGCGTCACTCCACAGTCCACATACTTCCGTCCCCTGCTAAATGGACATACAGACCTTGTGTAATATTTCCACGACCAACCCAAGATCTTGGGACCACCCGTTAATGACGTCATAATATATTGGAATGTAACCAACCACCACCTGGAATTCCGTTTGACATTCCGACAATTAAACGATAGTGGTCACCCAATTATTTCTATAATACCTAGCTAAGTATCGAAAGGCTTGAATGTGGCAACGTTGTTCGCTAGTCACTTTTCGACAAGAACATAGATGAATAAACACGACTTAGTCGCCTGAATGGGTTCGGGGTGGTGCAAATGGAAATGCAGTATTAAGTTTACAATTTTTGACTTCATATGACGGTCCCAAATATAATAAATTATTATAACATCACGCCTTTTTATCCCCAAAGGGGTAGGCAGAGGTGCACATTACGGAACTTAATGCCACTGTATGATGTAACACTCACTTTTCACTATTTATGTTATGAATCCCATGTAATAAGGGGTGAGCCTATTGCCATATACCGGACACAATTCTGGGATTGTGCGGTGTGAACGGTGTCTGGACACCGTGCTACTACTGAGATTTTTGAAAAATCCCAGTAATACTTTGGCCGACCCGGGAATCGAACCCGAGACCCCTTGCCGTGCCGTGCCGGAGTCGCACTTGCGACCACTCGGCCAACGAGGCAGTCAATCAGTAAGGCCTCATCGACTATTTTAATTTCAAACGCGATCTATTAATGTTATTAACAGATCTGAAACTCGTTTTACAATTGCTTAGAATTTCGGTACCCACTTCAAACACATAAGGCCTAAAGGCACAGGTATTTAAACTAACTTTTTTAATTTCAACAAGTTTTTATTGAGTTAGTTATTGTTGTTATCTTATTTGGCTAAACGTGCCGACCGTCAGACCTAGTTGGAAGCTTTTGGGATCATTTAGTAATACGTCCCAAAATAACTCTAGGATAACCTATTTATATTTTAGTTGTACCAATAGATTGTGTTTAATAACAATTAACTGACATAATTAGACGCAATTATATGTGCGTGTGTTTGTTTAATTAGCAGGCTCACTGCAAGTGATAACTAATTAGTGGAGAATTACGTCAATAGGCGATCTTTAATGAATTACACAAAGAATCAATTCATGAAGTTGATGTTCATTGACCGAATAAAACAAAGGACGCTATTTTAGATAAATGTCTAATGGATTCCGAGGCCTGAGCAGACAAGAGACTTTAAGGTCAGTAAAGAACGATTTTGCCGCTTATAGGGCTCGTACACAAAACTGCGGTGCGACGTCGCATCGCAAAAATGTGCGAGCCTCTACGCCTCGCTAGAACTTGCGAATTGATTCGCATCGCGCATCAAAATCTTATCTTCCCAAGATCTTCTTTGTTTCTTTTTCCTGTATCTCTTAAGCAATAACAGAAGTGGACACTTCTTTTTATGATCCATGCCACGACCTAATTTTCAATACGTTTAGTACGGTTGACGGTCGTTGAAGGAATGGTCACCCTTGTCGCACGAAATCGCATCGCAGCAATTCACATCGCATCGCATTGCAGTTTTAGGTACGAGCTCTTAGTGACCAAGACCCGCACCCAATCCTCTTTGACCACATGTTTTCAGTGAAACCAGAATCGTTCGTTGGTTGGCGTCAAGGCACTATTGTTAAGATGTATGTAAAAAACAAAAGTTTGCGAACATATTTTTTATCAGTGCCAGCCAAAACATCAATTCCAACGATGATGTAAATATATTATTATGCAGATTTTTTGGACGCATCCAAAACCTCAATTATATGAATTCTGAAGACAGCCACCGTTGAATTCTTTATTTATGTAGTAAAAAAAGTATTTAGTCTACACAATATCTAAAACAACGAAAGATCGGTCTTTAATTGTGCCCTCTGCGCGTTAATAAATTGGAGTTGTTACCAAGCCAAGTGTCGAACATTTAACCAACCGGAACGATTGAGAAGTTACAGCTAGCATCTTAATCATGGCGCGGAATATTAATTAGTTCAGTTTCAGTTTGCTATTTGTAAATTGTGGCCCTCGATTTGAAATGTAAGGTAAGGAAGGACTAGTTAGAACTGTACTAATTGAGGAAGTTTGTTTTGCTGTGGTGCATCCCTTTTAAGATTTTGGACAAAATTATATTTTAAATTGCTACTTAAGGTATTACAGAGATAATGTAGAAACTGATGAAGATAGGTAATTTTTCATGTGAGCAATTATTTTGGTACCATGACAGCATTTACGGTACCTAATTACAACCGAGACAAAGTATAAAGCAGAAATACCATCAAAATTAACATTCATTAAAACATTCCACAATAATAGATATTTGATCATTTTGTGTCTCCCTTATGTCTCAGCTCCAAGTAGTTACATAAAATCTAGGATAAGAAAAATTGCGAGTGAAGAATGCTACTGGAAACCAATAAACAGTCCGTTAAGGATTAGATTAGAGGATCGGGGAAATAAATTGAGCCACTATACTTCGATGAAAGCACACTATTTTTTCATTAGTGTGCGTGGACACATTCAGCAAAGAAAAATATCGAGACGAGGTAGTAATAGATAAAACTAGATTCAATAGGATTTTGATGCTTTAGCTTGATTTGAAGATTGTGAAAAGGTTTTTGTGTCTTCACTCGTTTGAGTTTTTGAACTTATTTTAGTCGTTTTAGGTTTAAAATAATTTTCTCTGTAACAGTCAAAAATATTGACTCTGCAAATAAATTATTTAGTTTCATTTTTCCGGCCAATCACTTTCTGAAAACTGAATATGATTTTAAATATTATTTTTTACAAGTAAAATAATATTTCTGAGAAGGGTAATAGGTACTCTTTACTTATTTTGTTTTTATTCTACAGCAGAGAGCGTCTGCTAATAAAAATGAATGCAGCGTTACAATTGAAGAAATAATACATTTCCTCACTAAAATCACGTCTTTATTTGCGAAACTGTTTCTGAACCATTATGTTCATTATTTTAAAAGGAATTGAATGTTAATATTTAATCTGTTTGTTTATGTATCTGCGGTTGAGTTAAGACTTATCAAAATATAATAAGACAGTATACAATCTCAAATATCAAGTCTTTATTATACGTGGAAATTGATCTCCGAAACTACTGCTCAAACTTAGATAATTCCTTCATCGATAGCCACATTGTTCTTAATTGACATAGCCCACTTTCTGCTCTCCTTGATAACTCGAACAAAGTCTTGGGTGGAAACTAGTCTGCAGTAATATGGCGATAAACTGGACACAGTAAATCAAAGGTGTCCAATCCAAACAGGAACTAGACGAGAAGTTATTATATTTTAGAGAAATATGAACCGAATCATTTGTTACAGAAGTGGCTTTATCACTCTTCAAGACATTTCCTATAATATTTGTCCAATAGCTCGGGAATTGAGTTGGAAGGATTTTATTTTATCTTACTTCATGATGCTTTTCATATCTATCTACATATTTATTTTACTGTAATTTATATTTTGCTGCAGTATTTAGTGATAGTTGATGATTTTATGTCTTGAAGCACAGAAAGATGTTTTTGAACTGTGCTCTTTGCTGTGGAATTAGCTAAGAGCTAGGTTTTAAAGTGGTTTCTTAATATTGTAATGATTTGTCTTTATAATTATTAATAATTCAATGCTACTATGAATCACTCAAAATTGCGTTGAACATCAAATGAACGAATGGCATCATATTCTAAGATGGCCGCCAGTCATAACCGGACTATAATTGGTTAAAGTAAATGGAGTTCAAAATATTACTATATTATTCCAAATCTAGATTTAAGTACTTTAAATCAGCTCATTATAGAGCAAGTATTAAATCAGCAATTCCGTAGATTCATTAAAGTTTAAGTACTTTAATTAATAAAATGAACCCACCGCTAAGGTAGATGAAAGAAGAGTTACAATTTGTCTTCTCCCACCGAATAAAGGTTCAGATTTCTAGTAAAACTTTAATTGCTCTTATTTAAACGTCGGCTTATTGCGAAAACTTTACTTAGATGCTCCGTCTTACTTCAAAGTACATACATTATGCAGTTCGAGTGTTAACTTTGTGGGATAACGATTCGAATTCTGTGAGTTTCACATTTATATTGCAGTTGCTTTTGTTCACCGTTAGTTCTTTAATATCTGTATGCGGTCCGAGTGAGCTGCAGTCTTAGTTTCGGACTACAGTTTGGGCAGTTAAAATACTATTCATGTGTGAGGGTCTGTACTAGATCACCATTGTTATGGAATTATTTAATTTTGAGTTCTGCACCTCTTCAAATATACCGAAAGGTCTTTGGCAACATCAAAACAAATCGTACCTATATTACATGAGAACTACGGAAAGGGTTTACCTCTAAGCCTTTTATGCCAGATACTTATCTTGCACCAAAGATTTATCTTTTCTGTAATATACCTAGGACAAGACTACCTATTGTTACAAAATGATACTCACGGAAGTGCAGACAATTTTTAAGTCGAATATCTCTTAATGCTCTACTCGGTAACAGGATTTCAACCAACACTAGACCAATTGTAAGCTGAAATGCACTGGTGGACGTATAATCTTCTCAACACTCACCGCTAGCCAGATAGACTAGTCAGAAGCTTAACATCGATAGAACAA